AAATACTGACATAACCCTTTGATGATTAATATACTTATAATCTCATGAACAGGTTGCTAATATTGCTATTTTAAACTAGTTTCATCCATAATCCGTAATATAAACAAGATTTCTAATCCAATCATACTCTTGACTCATTTTTCAATAACTGAATACCTATTCAATTAAAGATCAACATTCTCAATCAATTCGATGTCAAATGCAAAATACAATCAATTTAATGATCAGTTATTTCGTTTGCAAAAAAAGAAGTAAAAGAAGATATAATGAAAAAGTGTACGTCTGATTACAAAATAAATCTATTATTCAATCATTTATGTTGTTGCATTGGCTGTTACTTCTTCAGTTACTACTCCACTTTCAGCAGCTGCTTTTTCATCCTCCTACAAAAATCAAATGAGATTATACATTAAAAAAGAAAGAAAAAAATTATTAAATAAAAACTAACCGCAACAACTTTTCGATCTCGTTTTCGTTTTTCTTCTTCAATTATTTTCCAAAAATCTTTTTCAGCTTTTTCAATTGGATCAGCTTCTTTCAAGTCGGATTCACCTGCTCCACCTTCAGTTGTTGGTTTTTCACCTTTCTTTTAAATCACAAAAAGAAAAAAGATTAAAGAAAACAAAAAATTTTAGACGATCTTACTTCGCCTTGGGCTGATTTTGTTCTGACATCACGTTTAGCTCTTCCACGTGCTTCAAGAATTTTTGCACGTCTTGTTTCACGATCAAACATCTAATTAATTTAATCAAAATTTCGATAAATTTATGTAATAAAAAACTTACTCCAGTAACTAAAGCTTTTTCACTTTTTCCTTGTATACATAAATTATCAGATACTTCAATTAAGGTTACTGTACCATTTTGTGATCCACATGCAATAAGACGACCTTGTGATTCTTGTACACGTAAACAATGAAGTGGTTCATCAACAACTTGAAGTGATAAAGTTGGTTCATTTTGTTTAAATAATATATCCCAAACATCCAATGTACCTTAATAAAACAGAAATATATTTTTTTTTTAATGTCAAAAAGAACATTATTCTTTGTTGTTGTTTTTTTCTTTTACCATCCATTTTAGTTGTATAGAAAATAGATGATCGTGTTGGTGACCATTGAGCATCCGTGATTGCATGCATACTTGGTCTAGAAAAATGAGTAAGATGATTTGTTGTTTCATTAAACATTCTTATATATCTTACTTTGTCCACATAATACAATCGTCTCGTAATTCTTCTGACCAAATACGTACAGTCCAATCTCCAACAGATAAAAAGTTTTTGGCAAAATTAGGATGACGTTGAAGTGCATAAACTGGACCCCAATGTCCTGGAAACACGCTACCAATTTTTTCTGCATCATTTTTTCCTTTACGATTACATGATACTATGCGACCTTGTTCTGTGCCAACCATAAATTTTGTTGGCTATAGAAATTAAATTTTAAATCTAAATTCGTCGAAACAAATAAAACTCACCATTGTTGGTTCATATTCAAGTGACATAGCACCAAGAGCATTTTCTAATCGACCTTTTTTTTCAATATCTAATATTAATGTTTCAACTGGTTCAGATAACTTTCTAGTATCCCACCAAAGCACCTAGATAGATAATTATTCATTTAAAAGATGTTTTTTTTTTGCGAAAAACAAAATATGTTAATTCACTTTGCCATCAGTTGAAGCTGAAAAGAATTCAGTACCAGATTTTGATTGTAACCAAATGACTTTATAAGCTGGATCGCGATGACTATTTTCAATGAGCGATTGTTCAATAGCTGTACTACCTTTTCGTGTATCAAATATGCCTATTCAAAAAAATATATTTATGTACCAATCAACTTTGAATACGTTAAACTTACAAACTTGACCATTGTAACAACCACCAGCAAGTTGATGTGTATCTTTTGGATTAAATTCAATACAAACAAGTGGAGATATTGGTTTGAGATAAAGATCAGGTTTAGTTGGATTTTCTAGTAGAAATTCGAAAGCAAATATAAAAACAGTTTAAAAGAAGAATTAAATACATACCAATATCCCAAATATATGAATCAATAAAGGAATCACTGGTTGCTGCTTGAAATTCCAGATTACAATATGAAACAGCTATTTTGCGCGGTCCATCAGCATACCATGAAATATGATTAGCTGTACGTCGAGTACTATGCGGATCACTAAAATTTAAATCCCTATATTAAGCAAAGAAACAAGAAACACAATTGATTATACCGATAGATATTAATAGTCTTAGCATAAGGCGCTTCTTCAACAACATCTGGTTCTAAATGTTGAAAATAATTTTCATAAATATCGATAGCATTATTTTGTTTAATTGTATGTTCAATGGACTAAAGACAAACAATCAATGGATTTTTTTTCTTTAAATGAAAGAAATAGAAAGATGTATACATGTCCTAGTAATAGAATAGCACGCCCATAACCATCTTCTTTTTCAGTTTTTTTTCGAAAACGTGATGTTTGATCAGGTTCAAGTGGATTAACATCTTTAGGCCAACCACCTTCAACATGATTAATTCCTCGATTTTCTGTTTCAAATCGAACTGTATTTACCTGAAATTTTTTTATCGATTTTCTTATAAAAAGAAAAACAAGAAAGTTTGTTTCAAGAATTCATACCCAATGTTCAGAAAATTCACGGACATTCTGTACTCCAATGTCAACCGGATTACGAGCAACATATTCTTGAATTAATTCAGGATTTGGTTGAATATCAGCAACTATTTCAACTGGTCGATCAGTAAAGTGAACTTGTCGACCGAATTCTGAGCGTTTTTTTGTATAGACGTATTGAATATCCATTTATGGTGTTAAAGTATTAGAAGGATTTGTTAGAATAACTAATCGATAACCATCAGCATCAATTTTACATCAAATTTAACTAAGCAACAGCCTCTCTTTAGAAACGCAATGGCTATAGAGAAGATGTCGTTGTATTCAATATGTGAACAAAAGAAGTTACTATTTCTTCATTCCTATATAACGAAGCTTTTAAGAATCGATTATACTCCAAGGAAATTATTTAAAGTATCCTTTTTATTTTCATAATTTTAACAAGCAATTATATTTTCGTAAGGATAGTTGACAACACGAGTGTCGATTTGTGTTATGATGTGCAGCAATAGCAATGAACTCTTCTTCATGTTATAAACTACGATTAACATTTATAGTGTTTGTTAATATAAAATTGCAGCAAGTACCCAATTGACATCACATGAATATCGAATTTCTATTGATATTCAATCTTTTGAAATAAAATGTACAGCTGATTACCTATGCAAATAAAGACAACAGGGTTTAACGACTGTTGTTTGAGAAAAAAAAAGATTTAATGTATCAAATATGTTTTGTTGTTCAGTTAATATATTTGATAGAATAATTTCTGAGATCTCTATTTCAGGTTGTGATGTTTATGTTATAGTCTTGTCCATTGAGCATTTATATCCGCCTAAAAAAAGTCAATTTTCATCAAAAACATGAAAACTGAGATAAATGTATAAGGAAGATAGTGTGACTTCTGATCTTTCATAAAGGATACAAATCTTTATTTGGAATCTTGCTTTTTCTTTGTTTATGTTTTCTTGATTGCGCAACCCAGAAATCTCCACGGGTTTTTATTCAATGTATTCAATTTTTTGTTTTGTTTGAGAGAGCATGACAGAGTTTCGTTTTTGTATTAAATCTTTGTTATTATTATATTAAAAAGAGAACTAATATAATTAAAGCGATATTTATTGAGAGTTTTTCGAGACATTGAACTTTTGTCTACTAACAAAATAAGAATTTAAAAAAAAGATTCAATCATGTCCGGCACAATGACACCCTCTTTCAAACAAACAAAAAATAAGTGTATAGAATGAAGGCATACAGAGAATTTTATGTTGCCAAATGAACTATTTCTTACCTTTGTTTTTTTTAATATCTCCTAAAAACCTCATCGTATAGAGCTGAAAATCCTATCGTAGTCTCCTTTCACTAAAGTCCCAGCATATCCTGTTAAATTTTATGCGATTTGAATGTATCTAGGCCAAGATAGATTTTCCGGAGGTTGAATCCTTAAAAGATATCCAGGTGTTAATCGCATATTACTTGTACTGCTTTATATTCTGCACTTTATATTCGATCTTATACTTTATCATTAACAAATCGATTTATTTATATTTCAAAAAACATGATTCTGTTTCTGTCTGTCTTAGACCCATTTACTTTTATATCTTCTTGTCATAAATCAAGATAAATATGGAGAATGCCTTGTTTACTATAAAATCATACTGCGTCGAAACATCTTTAATGTTATTTAAATGCAGTTAAATTTTTATGAAATACTCCTCCCTCAGTCATGTGTATTTTCATAAGAATACTCGTCTTTTCCATAATACAAATCACAAATATATTGAAAATCGGACAACAATGTTGTATTTCAACTAAAATGGTGCTAAAGTTTTTCAGGTAAATATTTCATTTTTATAAGCTTAAATATCTTTTATGTTCTTGAATGAAGTGTAACATAAGAGAATGAAATGATATGTTTATTAAAAATGACAGACACATTTCATTATTGTTTTTTCTTCAATTGACATTATTTCGATTGAAAAAAAAGAAATAGAATATTATCATTATTTTGAGAATGTATGAATATCATGTATTCTTTTGTTAAGTATACATCACTTTAGAAGTATATCTATTCTCCAATAGAAATGGAAAATTTTCATCTTAAAGGTTGTGTTTATGCCCTTTAATAAGTAGAAGAATATAACAATTATTTTAATAGTTTTACTAAATGATAAAAAATGAAGCACTTAATAAAACACGCACATCCGTTTACTTTTACAAAAACGAGAAAATAGTTCAATTTCTCTGTCTCTGTCTCTCTCTTTTTTTAATGTATTAGAAATTTTTGGTTTTCTTCTTACATTATATAGTGCGTAAAAAACAATATTAAATTTCTTTCTTTTTATATTCATATTAGAAACAAGAAAGATGACAGTTGAATATGTAGATTCATCATCAACACCTGAAAAACTTGTTTTATTAGTATTCATTATTGCTATTGTTATTGGAAATGTAAGTTCTTTTTCAATAGGTTTTTTCTCTGTTGACAAAAAGAAAATTTAGATCTGTGTGTTTATCACGTTTATTGCGCATGCTGATGGAAAACATTGGTCAAATATGTTTATATTAGGTATGGCGTTTCTTGATTTGTTTATCGGTGGTTTCGTTCTTCCTATGCGTTTTATAAGCGCTTACGTAAACCCGTTAACACAAAAATTATGTGCTGCATTAAGAATTGGTGAATCCTGTGCTTTGGCAGCTGTTATATATGCAATTCTTTTCATGATATATACTCGTTTATATAGCTTAAAACAACCATCACCAAATATTCGTCGTCGTTATATTCTATTATTATTAATAATATCATGGATTATTTTATTTCTTTTTTATGGTATTCCATTTATGACAAATTATGTTTTACCATTAATATCAACAACATCAAATATAACATCATATTGTACAACTTATTCAGCATCCATTTATCATCCACCATGGATGGCTTATACAGAAATAGGAATTATTTATTCATTACCATTAATATTTATTTTTATAGGTTTAATTTATCTTCTACATTATTTATGTCAACCACGACCAAAACAATTGGAATCAGCTGAAAGAAGAATATATCTTGAACAAAGACAAATGACATGGCATATTTTTTTATTAGGCATAACATTTAGTTTTCTTTGGCTTCCTTGGATTTCAATTCGTATTCTCATTATTTTTCGTCATACATACGAAATTCAACGTACTTTGCAAATAACTTATTATATACTTATACTTAAGTCTTTAATCTTTCCCTTAGTATATGCATCAACAAATTCATCATTTCGTGGTTCATTCGCTATTTATAGACATCAACGGGTAATTATGAATACTCGTGTATGGGCAATTAATGAACAATTTCGATATTCAAATCAACGTCAACGTGGATATTAAAAAAAAACAACAAAAAGACTAAATTTCATTCATTTCTTTTGTGTTCAAATAAATATAATATATATCAAATTTTTTTTTGTTTTAAATGTTTGTCAGTTTATTTATAAAATAAATATGATTAACATGATTGTTCATTACAAGTTTTAACTTGTGTATAATCACCAGTACAATTCATTCCAGCTAATGAAAAATTATCAATAATAGTTTCAGGTTCAGGCACTGATGGTGATGGATCAGTACAAGTTCGAATACGTGTTGTTTGACCAGCATCACAAGGTTTTGAACATGGTGACCAATTAGACCATGGTGAAAAACCACCATCGACTTAAATAAGATAATTTTTTCTTCTATGGATTAAAACAAAAAGAAAAGAATATCTTACCAATACATCTTGCAATAACAGCAAATAAATCACTAACAATATTTGATGTTTGTGTTCGATCATATTTACATTCATAAAAATCCTTTTCCGTTCCGTCACATAATATACCCGGATAACAAGTAGAATTATGTCGAATAGGATTTAGAATAGCTAAATAAAAAAAAAACAAAAAAAAAAAACAAGATAAAACCATTTTCTATTTACCATATTGTGCACCACGCGGTAGACCAATTGACTTGCAAACCTTGACAAGAAAACACAATTATGTTTTTTTATATATAGAATGTGGCCTAATAGTTTCTACCCATGTCTGTCAATTGACGTTATCGGTATGAACACATATATAGATAGGTGACTAAAATACATAGTTCTTTTTTAGAGAAACATTAAAACTATAATATAAAAATAAAATAGATTGAATTTTATCGATATCAAGAAAAATTATGGTTACTTTTACTAATTATGACAAAACATTTTACATCTTACATTTTGTTACAAAATTAAAATTTTTAGTGGAATGGACATTTACTCAAAGACGAACACGCTTATTACCTAGTTAAACTCATAAAATATTATTTATTCGTTCATAGGAAAAATTTAAGAACAAGTAGTAAATGGAAAACTTATGCTTTCTCATTAACATCTGTTTACAGTGATTACATTGTTAAGTGTCTATCCTTGTCTTTATTCTCTTATTCTTCTGTTTGCTTTAAGGATGAGAATTTGTTTTTCATTTCATTTCTGCTTAAAAAACATGTAATAAGATTTATTAATATGATTATTGTAAAGGATTTTTAATTAAATAGTACTTATATGATATTTGGGATCTTACCTCATATTCATACACGTTTTTATTCTTGTCAAAAATACACTGAGAAAATCATTCGGCAGGCAAGACGTAGAGAAGAACGAAAAAAACCGCCCTGTGACCTTCCCTGTTTTCTAGAGGTTTTTATATGATTTGATAGAGTTCAACATGCTCTATGAGAATATGATTTTCAAAAAAATTCTGATTTTATTTCCAAATACAAATCTTCGAAGAAATCCAAAAGATTAATGAAATTTTCATGTATGTTGCATTAGAGAGAGTAAACTGAATTCTTAATAATTTTAGTTTATCTATTATTCCGTCTGTTCATGTAGCTCAGAAAGGTTATTTTCAGCCACAGTATGTCACACTACATATTGATACATCAATTATCAATCAAATCAATTAATGTTATTGAAAGTTAAGTATATCCTGGCATACAACATATGTGAGATTTTTATTAGTCTGCTTGATTTCTTCTATGTTTTCTATTGGAAATAGAATTAGAAGGCTTTCTGATATTCATATTGTTGTAGAACTTGTCGAACTCTATTAAATCATGTAATAATATCTAGAAATTCATATTTCGCTCGATTTTAATCATTTAGATATTACAGAAACATTTTTGTTTTTGTTGAAAAATGTAAGATGTAAAATGCTTAGTGATATTTAACAAAGAGCTCGTAACTTTTCATGATCTCAATGGAGTTCAAACTATTGTCTTTTCAAATGATAGCTTTAATTTTTTTTCCTACAAAACTATGTACTTAACTCAACAATATGCATATGTACTTGCATAAATAACACTAATTTACAGAGATAGATAGAAACTTTTGGACAACGTTTTAGAATATTTTTTATCTTACTAAATCCGCCATATGCTTTGCCATTTCAGTACTATTTTGTGGTACACATAAAATATCACCTTCTCGAATAGCTAAATATCCTTTTAATGGATATTTATCGGGTTCAGTTTCCTTAATACCTAAAAGCAAAAGATAATCATGAAATTTTTTGTTTTTTTTTTTCTGGAAAAAATATTTACCAGCAACACGTTGACAATTGGCTACACCACAAGCTCTTTGTTCATTTGTATAATTTCCACAATTTGAACCGGGTGGAATACATGAACGATTACGTTGTTTTATACCAATACCACAAAATTTTGAACATGGTGTCCATGGGGTCCATGGACCATAGACTTACAAAAACAAAAATTAGAACAAAATCCTATTAGAAGAATATCGAAAGAGATCTACTTGGACAAGTCGTTATATTGCATGATTGGATTTCAATATTTGTACCAATGCAATTATCACTTGGAATCTTTTGAGTTTTATCATTAGATGATAAACATTCACGTTTACGAAATCGATAACCTTCACCACATGTTACACTACATACAGACCAATCATTATAATCAGTCCATATACCAGTTTCTATCAAACAAATAATTAAAAAAGAAATGAAACCAACAATTCTTCTGTTAAGAAAAACTCTAACCTATTTTATCGCAATCATCAGGTATTTTTTGTCCATTTAAACAAACACAATTTGGTACTTGTTTTCCTTCACGAGTATGACTAATACAAATGGCACCTGGTTTACATTTAACTTTGTCACAAACATTTGGTGTAACTTCTTGTCGCTAAATAAATAAAATTAATTTAAATAATAATTTATCAAACTTAAACTTACTAAAGTAGTTATATCGTTATCAACAACTACAGTTAAATCATCAAATAAAGAACACAGTTTATTTGTCGCATCATAGGAAAAACCTGTACATATTGATTGGTCTTTAACACATTCAATAGCACATTGACGTTCATTTAATATTTCAAAATCAATATAAGATACTGATGCTGATAGACGTGAAGGCGTTAATCGTAATTTATTTAAAGTTTCTTCATTAAATTTGATCAAACGTTGACCATTTGTATTTGTAATAGCAATAGCTACGATAAAAATTTTTGAGAAAACTAGTATGAGCCACATCATCGATATTCTACCGAATGAATGTATGAAATGAAAAATATAAGTAAGAACAAGGTTTGTTTAATTCCTAAGAGAAATTGATTACAATTAATATTATTTCTTTTAGTTTATGAATGTATACTAGTCATAGTCTCTCTGACGCACACAAACAATTGATTTCATGTTGTTATTAATCTTACAAGAATTCCCAAGTGAAAAGAGTAATATTTAATTTGCGTATATAGAATGAGTTATTTTAATTGAAAAGGAAAACAATAGATACTTGAGTTTCTAATCAGAATGAAATAGAAAAGTTTATGATATAGTCCGAGTGAATTTGAAAAATCGAATTCTTATTGATGCAAACAAGTTGAAATACTTAGGTCATACCAAAAGTAGTGGCCAAGATATCTTATTTTCGTATAGAAGGCTTGGAGAAATTTTCTTTTTTTTTCTATGAATAAATAGAGCGTCTTTCGCTCTATTTTTCTATGCTATTTGATTACTATTCAACTAATATCATAATAATAAAATTTCGATAAAAATTGTTTTTTGTTGAAAACCAACTGGTAGCATTTAGATCATCATGGATGTGGCATAAAAAATGAGGCACTCTTGCATTTCATTTTATCACCACTTAATACGTTGTATTAAAATAAAATAAAATATACCACAAGATGCAGCGTGAAAAGCTCTACAATTTATAAAGGATCGCTTATTTTATAGTTGCACTTTTTGTTTTCAAAATGGACAAAACTCTGAGCTACGAAATTTCGACGTTGCGAAAACGAGATTGTTTTCTGGTAAAAAACGAATTCGGTTTTTTCTATCTCATCTATTTATAATTGTTCTTTGTAAATTGTAGAGCTTTTCACGCTGCATCTTGTGGTATATTTTGTTTTTTAATACAACGTATTAAGTAGTGATAAAATGAAATGCAAAAGTGCCTCATTTTTTATGCCACACCCATAATGCCAGCTGGTTTTCAACAAAAAACAGTTTTTATCGAAATTTTATTATTATGATATTGGTTGAATAGTAATCAAATAGCATAGAAAAATAAAGCGAAAGACGCTCTATCTGTTCATAAAAAAAAAAGAAAATTTCTCCAAGCCTTCTATACAAAAATAAGGCATCTGGGCCACTACTTTTGATATGACCTAAGTAATTAGAAAGTTTTCTAAAATTAAATATTTTGCTTTTATTTATTTCAATCTTTAGATAAAATAAATCTCTACAGCTATTGTGAATACTATTTTTCTTCATTATATTTGTCACATAAAAATTTTTTTATTTGATCAAAACTGTATGTTTGTTTTTTCAATTATTTGGTCTTTCGTATGTATATATATATATATGCGTAATTATTATTGTTAATCATCATGGATAGTCATATAGTAAAGACATCCTTTTAAACCCAAATCATCATCATTGATTAAAATAAGTGGAACACGAGCAACTATCTCACTCATTTTTGGTCCTTGATCTAAATAAGATTTAAGTAATGGATTTTCCGAATTGTTTTGCCATCGCCATGAAAGTTTAGGTAAAATACCACCAGTTATATATAAACCACGATAAGGTAAAAATGTTTGTGCTGCTGTCCCTAATACTCGACCAAAAATATCAAGAAATGTATCAATAACACGAAGACATAATAGATCATTATAATCACGAGCATGTTGAGCAATTACTGCTGGAGCATCATCTTGTGAAACTTCTTGAAGATCATGATTAAGTTTTGACGTTAAAGATTGATTTAAATATTCCGAATAAAATTGTAACATTGTAACAAATGCTGGACCTGATACAAGTTGTTCAATTTCAATAAATGATTGATTGCGACGTAAATATTTAGCTAGACACCATTCTTCATCTGATCGTGGACTAAATGTATCGGTCATACCTGCTTCTGATGGATAAACTTGATATCGACCTGAACCATCCGGTGAAAGAAAACATGCACCAAGACCAGTACCGGCACCAAAACAAGCTATTGGTACATTGGTATCAGCATTATTTTCAAGAGAAACTTGATGAAGTGCATATGCTTCAGTGAATTTACATAGTTCATTTGCTTGAGAATCAACTTGAGCTGCAAGACAATAACCAATAGCTTCAAAATCATTTAAAAATACTAAAGAATTAGGACTGAGTTTAAGATCACTCTCAATTGCATCTGCATGTTGTTGCGGCCATCTAGAACCATCAGGTTCCATACGTACATTATTCGTATCATTGCTTCGACGATTATTCCAAATAGGACCACATACAGCTAAAACCACTCGAATACTAGATAAACAAAGAAAATCAAAGATTCCTTTTGTTTTAAACAATACAGTCGTACTTTTTATTTTTTATAGCATTAAGAACATCTTCTTGATTTTGTTCATTTTCTGTATCATTTAAAAAACGTTGTAATATTGCACTAAGACCTGTGAATGTAACTGTTCGATAAGTTTTTCTAGTGACATTTACAATGGATGGTATTGACACATGTTGATGACGACTGTACCATAATAATTGTAACCTTGCATTAGTACCACCTATGTCACCAACAATTACTGCATAGGATTTCGACATGTTTGTCAATCAACAATAGAATAAAATTACGACTATTGCAGGTAAACTAATAGCTTGCTATTATCATTGACTACTCTTATCTTATTGAAAGATAAGTGTTGTTGAGAACATTCTTTTCTTTTTCTTTTCACTTTTACCTTTCATTCATTATATTACTATCTTTGATCTTATTAAAAATTAGTATTCTAAATGACTAAAATTAAATAAAGATTAAAGCTAAATATTACTATATGTATTCAATGTGGTTATAATCGATTTTTACTTGAGCTTCTTTCACTTCGAAAAAGTCAATTTTCGTCGAAAAAATGAAAATTAAGATAAATGTATAAGAAACATGATCTGACTTCTGACCTTTCATAAACGATTTGATCTTTTATTTGGCATTTCGTTTTTTTTCCAAAAACTTCAGAGAATATTCATCATTTCCTGCTTGAAAAATTTTCTTTGTTCAGAAACAACGGAAAGTATTTTTCTCACTTTCTGTTTATGTTTTTTTAATTGCACAATCCAGAATTCTCTGTGGACTTCCATTCTATATATTTAATTTTGTTTTTTGTTTGAAATAGCGTGACAGGATGTAGGGCATGACACCGTTTCTTTTTTGAATCAAGCTTTGTTGCTATTATATAAAGAAAATACTTTTGAATTTTTCTTCCCTTAAAAAGTAAGAATTAAAACGAGGATGATGTCATGCCCAGCATCCTGACATGCTCTTTCAAACTAAAAAGAAAAGAATAAGTATATAGCATGAAGGTTCGCAGAGAATCTTGAGCTATTTTATATTCTTGTTTATTGAATGTCTCCCGAAAACGTCATGGCATAAGGCTGTAAATTTGATCATAGCCTCTCCACTACAGTGCTAACATATCGTGAAAATCTCATGTGATTTGAAATGTATCAGATTCCAGATTGTTTTTTTCAGTTTGCGAGTCTTAAAAGATTTGAAAAAGAAAAGTTCAATAGAATAGAAATATTGGATAACTTAAAATCAACACTTTCTTTTTTTGTTTTAATTCACACAACAACTGTTTATTCTTTTACTGGAGGAATGAGTCATTACACATATTCCTTTCGACAAATAATATTTTTCATTTTGTTATTACTCAATCACAATTGTGTGCAACTTTAAGTAGAAGTTAATCATGAATGTTTGATAGCGATTGGCATGCTTTGTGGTCGTTACATCGTAGAGTGAGGGACGGCGTCTGTTGTCACAACAGCAGTCAATGCTCGCGCGATGACAGTCTGGGACGGTTGCCGTTTAAAGCAGTAATCCGCTAAGGAGTGTGTAACAACTCACCCACCGAGTGGAGTATTGTGTACTGAGCCGTGTACTTTAAAACCGATCTACGCGCTCCAATCGCTTTTTCTTTCTCTGTTCACAAATTATAATAAAAATGTTTTTGAATATGTACATTTCTATTTAAAATCAACTTTATATTATGAATTACAATGAATTTTTTTGTTCAATGGATTAATTGTAAGAAATTCATTGTTCATTTTTTATATCTGTGTGTTTGCTACATATGATATTGATTATTATGAAAACCACTTGAATATTGTCTTTTTATTACCTGTACTTCTTTAATAGATAGCTAGAATGTATTGATATTATGAATAACATTTCTATCGAGATATTCTCTAACCACATCATATAAATATCATCATAGTGAAAAAAATAAAAACAAGATTTTACATATCCAACGAGATATTTTTATTGTTTGATAAATGTGATACATTTAGTTAAATAAAGATCATGTGCACATTAGTTAATGGGAAAGGAAAAAAAAGTACATTAAAATTTTGAGATTAGTTTGCTTGTGTCCAACTCCAACGTGGTGGTAATGCACTTTGATATTCTGCTGTATATTGGTTGTCTCCAATAAATTTTTCTAAATCAGTTGGTTTTGGATAAAATGCAGCTAATTTTTCTCCATAGGCATATTCTGCTGTTGCAGCAGCAATCTTTCTTGATACTACACGAATTTTTTCAAGTGGTGGATAAACAAGACCTACTGCAAGATCTTCCTCTGTAACTTGTCCCGAAAGTGTTTTAGCTGCTATGTAAAATACTTCATTGGGTACATGTCGAATACCACATGTTACAATTGCAAGACCAACACCAGGAAATATATATGAATTGTTTCCTTGGCCAGGTACATATGTTTTACCATTATATACATAATTAGGAAATGGAGAACCAGATGCAAAAACACATTGACCTTTGGTTGCTTCATATGCTTCGCTTGCAGTACATTCAGCTTTTGATGTTGGATTCGATAGAGCAAATATAACTGGACGTTCATTGACTGAAGCCATTGTTTCAAGTATTTCACGAGTAAATGCAGGACCTTGACCAGCAGCACCTATAACAAAGAAAGAAAAATTTATCATATATTTATTAAAAAATTTCTACATACCAATAAGAAATGATGGTTTAATAGTTTTAATAATATCTGCTAATTTATTAATTGGTTCACGCTCATGTGCATATCGATTTTTTTCTTCATTTAATCCACCTGCTGGGCGATTCTTAATTTTAAATAAATCCCTTTATATATATATATATATATGAAATGATATTTATATTTACCTTAACAACAAGTCCTTTTGAATCAACTAAATAGATCTTTTTTCGAGCTTCTTCAGTTGGTATTCCTTCATGTTCCATCGCTAAAACGAGTAAATCCGACATACCAATTGATGCCTATTTAAAATAAAAAAAGGAATATCAAAAAAAATTCTTAAATAAATGTTTGAACTTACTTCACCAGCACCATAAAATACAAATACGTTATCGGCTAATTTTCGTTTAGTAACGCGAAGTGATGTAAGAATACCCGAGACAGCAACACTAGCTGTACCTTGTATATCATCATTGAATGTACAATAACGATCACGATATTTTTTAAGTAAACGAAATGCATTATGATTCTAAAAAAATTGAAATTAAATTCAATTGTTTTATTTTTCTTACTGGTTAATTAACTTACAGCAAAATCTTCAAATTGAACTAAACATTGTTGTCCAAATCTAAATAATAAATTAAAATTAATAAATCTAAATTCGAAAACATTTATTGTACCGTTTAACAACAGCTTGTATAAATTCATCGATAAATTCATCATATACTTTGCCAGTAATACGTTTTTCTCGTAAACCCAAATAAAATTTATCATTAAGAAGAGTCTTTTAAAAAGAAAAATTCATTAACAAAAACAAAACTTAAAAGAAAATTTTCTCTTACTTGATTATTTGTTCCAACATCAAGTGTTATTGGTAAACAATATTCAGGTGCTACACCAGCTAATGCTGTATATAAACTTAATTTACCAACAGGTATACCCATGCCATTACAACCTAAATCACCCAAACCTAATATACGTTCACCATCAGTGACCACAATTGCCTAAAATAAAAATACGTTTTTTGTAGAACAAAAACAAACAATCAATGAGCATTATCCAGTGTTTGCTTGTTGGCGACGAATATGTATAGAAAAGTAGCTACATTAACTTTTTTGTTGCCAAGAGCTGTTCCATATTTTATCTCTCTTTCTTGTTCATCTTGATAACATGTGTTATTAAGAAGATTTAGAAAGAGAGATAAAAGAAGAGGCCATTCTTAGCAACAGATAAGCCAATACAGCCACTTTTTTAATACATATTCGTGACTAATAAGCAGACCACGAATAAGACTCAATATACAAAAACTTACTCGAACATCCTGAACTGGCCAATTCATCAAAACATCGTAAATATGACCCTTATCATGGATTGAAATGAATAAACCTCTATATAGATAACAGAACACAAAAATTCATATGGAATTCTTTAATAAATTTACTTTGGTTTTGAAAAAATTAAACCATATTTTTGACAAGCTAAGCCTACAGTTGGTGTATAAACAAGAGGCATAATTTCTTGTGTATATTGCATAGCTACTCGATAAAATAATTTTTCATTACGATCTTGTAAAGAACTTAATGATATATATCGTGCTAAATCATCAGGCATATTACGTAAATTTTCCATAAATCGTTCAATTTGAAGTTCAGCTGTAGCTATTGTTGGTGGCAATAAACCATGAATACGATATATTTGCCGTTCTTCAATCGAAAATGCTGTGCCCTAAAAAAATTAATCAGCAAAAAAAAACATAATAATTTAATAATTTTAAAAAGTTTACTTTATTAGCCCGTCGATCAAGTAAAACTTCATAACCAGTAATAAATCGTTGAGCGGTCATGAAATATTCACCGTGCTTTTTATGACTATCAAGAAATGTTCGTTGTTCTAAAATAATAAAATTATTGATACATAGATAGAGCAAAGTTTATTGAAGTACACGGTCGATTATTGAACTACTGAAGTTAGTTTTGTCGAAAGATGTATGTCCTTCACAAGGATACAAAAAATGTCCTCGATTACATTTGATTTAAAGAAATGAGTGAAACTATAGGGAAACGAGTAAAATTTGTTTTGATTCAAAAAGTGTGACTATTTGCATGTCTTGTCTTGGATAGTAACGACAGCTATTTATTTTCTGTAAGACCCATTCATGCCAAGAGAATGCATTACCGACGCATACATTGATAGTATGGCACGACGGGTGTACATCCAACGATACATGGGCTGGTAGCGTGTCTTTTTTTGACGGACGATAAATAAGAATATAATACGAACGAATCGAAATGAAAGAAAAATAATCTGATCGTTCTATTACATTTTTCTGGTACGAAAATTTATAGGTCTGCCTGGATGCAACGAAAAGAAGAGAAATGTACTCTGTAAATACTTTGGTTTTTTTTCTGTGATAGTTTTGTTTTAATCTTGATTTAAATGTATTATGGAACATTTTAGTTTATCATGAATATTTCAATTGAAAAGAAATTCGGAAAAATTCGGAAAGAAACTTCATTTTTTGTTTTTGCTTCGTAGGGCACAAACGTTATTTTTTATATTGTGATTTTTAATGTGTATGTTTTTCTAGAAATGAAATTTGATCTTTATTTAATAATTAATTCTTGTTTCAAGGCAAAGGAGGGAGAGCAAGAGGGAGACAGAAATGAATCATCACGGATGTTCATTGGTTCAATTATGGCAAGGAAAAATAAACCAATAGGGTCTTTCCAATAAATGGCAGTAAAACATCTGTGACATAACGGCTGTATATACATCGATACAGTATGACAATCGTTGGAAACTTGTTCCGAAAAATATGTCGACGGTGCGGGATATAGACATGGTTACTCGCTCAGAGTTACCGAACATAGATTGGTTGTTTTTTCTCCGTGGGGCAAAGACAGAACATAAAAATAAGGGTTGCAATGAAATACGCAAGTAACAAAAAAACAATTTTCACAAGACAGTAGATTCTTGTTTTCTTTCTCTGTGAAGAACACGAAAGCGCAACTAATAATCGGATGACATAAAAATTTTGTTTGTAATATTAAAATATATGAAATTCCTATCAAAGAATACAACGTATTTTTTTTCACGTTCTTTTCCCTTATACAAATTTTTACTTTTTACTATCACAAATAGAAATTAATAAATTTTTGATGTATTTCTTCTATGTTATACCATGCAGATAAAATGCAAATGAAAATATGAAAGAGAAACATAAAATATTAGTCGACCGTGAAGAATACAAAAAAATACTACATGATACTAATTTCACATTTTATCTATTAATAGCAACGACGAGGAAATAATATTAAAGTAATGAGAAATGCTAAATATGTATTACTTTGATGGTTTGATGAGACGATTGATCGTCTTGTTGTTGAGCATTGAGTTGACATAGGTAAGCATTGAGCCAATGGCCAAGCAAAAACTTGGCGGATCTGATTGGACCGTAAACCAGGTTTGACAAGCATTATTTCAATTTGATTTATTGCCTAGACTAAAAAAAGAGAACAGAAGATTCATTATTTTTTTGTATTGTAATAAAAAAAAAACATTTTTCATATAACACAAATGATGAACGAACATTTTTAGTCTCCTTGCTAAATATGATATAGATTTCTATCGGTAAAAAAGAAATGTAACAAACAATCTGCTTGTTTCAGTATATTTTCAGCGCAGCATGACGTAAACAAATAAATAGTAACATTTATTTATAAAGATCAAATAAGCACATCTCACCTACTTTGTTTCTTTGAATGAAAAAAAAAATTTTTTTTTCCAAAGATAACAGTCAATAAATATAAGCTAAAACTAGGTATATGATAAAAATTGATGTATCTATCTATTATTCAGTTCATCCAATAATATGAATATCATAGCGCGAATCTAAGCCATTCTCTATTGCAAAAAAAAATTCGTGTAATCGTATGATAGAGCTGTCTGTGTTAATATGAGTCAATACGACCTTACATACGTTTTAAGCGTATCAAAGACTATTATATTCGCCTTTTCACGCATGATAACTTGTACAGGTGAATGTTTTGTTTGTTTTTTTTGTATACGAGTATAGTTATAGAAACACTGAATGCTTATAAATGTCAGTTCTCATATGATATTACACAAGCCTAGAATAGTTTAAAAATAAACTGCATCTAACAATTACGGATAAACACACAAGAATCTTTTCTCAGATAAAACTGACTGACGCGTATATTTTTCTGAAAAAATAAGCTTCTTTACCACTCAATGACCTGTTTACAAATGGTCGGCCGCCAGAAAATAAATGAGCTAGACTTCTATTGGTACATGGTATCGTCATTTATGCACTTGAATATTAATTTATGGAAAGTGTTTTCATGTTTTAATTTATATATAGAAAAATTCTAAATTTAGTCTATAATCGAATGAAATATTTTTTATTATTGACAAATTTTTCGTAAACATAATTTTTTAATCGAAAATATTTTATTTTTCGAGCCCTCTATAATTTTTATCATAATGATTAGTACTAATGACAAGAAAATGTTAAAAAATTAAAGTTATTCACAATCAGTATAGTGTAATAAGGCTTTTTTTCGATTCTACATTATGTTATATAAAGATCCTTGAAACTTATTCATTCCGCTCAAACTTAATATAGATGTCATCGGTGGGAAGTGCATCTACCATTAATATTAAAACGTCTAACAAAGACGAAAGAGAAGATAGATGAATAATTAAAGTTAAATTTAAGAAATCTGATTGGATCTTCAATAATGTGACCTCAATTAGATTTCTTAATCTAATTTTCATATAATCTTCGTCTAGCCTGTTTGAAACTTAATTAGTGAAAGAAACGTTGTTAAACTCCCTATGACAATATACAAATGAGAAATATATTGAAAACAGATAGATTTTATAACTTTCAAATGCAGTAGTTATTATGAAAGAAAAACTAAAAACACTTTTCAATGTACTTTTAATATATTTCAATATTTTATATTACTTACAGCATATTGATGTACGAAGTAAAATTTGATTACGTTAAATCAACTAATAAAATGTATAAGATTGTTTAATATATTGATAGATAATTGTCAAGTACGAAGTTAAACTAAATGGTTTATACACCATAGACCGTTATTTGATCGACGATTATAAATACTTGACGAAGGTATATATCAATGAGTATTAATAGAAAACAAAGAATGACAAATTTTATTGCAAGAACACATTGATTACGATCGAAACGAATATCTTTGAAAATAATGACAGTTTTAAAGATAATTCACTATTAAAAACTTTTTTGTTCTTAATTATTATACTTTCATTATATTTATCACATAGACTACATATAGTAAGAATAATTTTATTGTTATATAAAATAACAACTGAGAAGATAAATAAATATCAACCAGATTTATTATTTTTTTTTTGCATTTGTTTATATCGAAAAACTAATAACTTAATTGGTATTGAATTAAGAGTAAATGAATGTTGTACATTTTGAATGTATACAAGTATTATCTTATTGACATAATTATTTACATTGCAATTAGTAGTATCTAGATTATAAATCAAATAATCTGATATTTAATATTTATTAATCAGACATAAATATATTTTATCATGAAAACAGTTAATATTTTTCATATATATTAATAATAGAACTTAATACTTTTATATACGATTTTGATTCATATTAATTTAAATTGAGATATTCATTAATTTGTGAATAATGATATATGTATTGAATTTGGATAATTAAATAATATAAATCATAAAGTCGAAAAAGAAAATGAGAAGATTTCAATGAATTAAATTAATAAGGAACTATTTAAAATATATGAAGACAACGAATAACGATTACTTTTATATGAAAGATTTTGTTTGCAACTATTCTAATTCATAGTAATATATATAATAAAAATAACAATTTCACCAAATACAAAACAGTTGAAATAGTGCATCAATTCAATGTAACACAAGCATCATTATGCAAACATTGAATTGAAGAACAAGTATTTAATGGAGTTTGACATTTACTATTGTTACGAATAAGGAGTAGAGAGAGAAAGAGAATGTATGACTGTTGTTAAACGATCAATTTTGAGCATGTACAATAACAATTTAGAGTTTCATATCAGTCTATTAAACTTGTTCGATCACACATCAATTTAAGTCGATCTTCATCCAAATGGAAAAATAGTTTGTCTAGATTGATAATGAACATCTATCAAAGGAATTAATTCTTGACAAGGCTTTGTTCGATTTTGTATTGATTCTTCAAGATATACAAAAGATGAATAACAGTTTAAAAAATCTCAAAAATTAAACTTAATAAACCCATGGTAAAGATGTAAGTTTATAAGAAAGTGATTTGTGATTCGATAAACATCAATACGGATGATCTTTTTTACTTATTGTAGATTATAAATTCATGAATTGATAATAATTTTAATAGATAAGATGTTTTAATGAAAAAAATCCATCACGAATTGTTTCATATGGTAGCATTTGTTTATTTTCATCGAATACATAAGAAGAAAATAATCAAATCAATAGATCAAATGTTGATTAAATGAAGCTGATTTTTCAACTTGATAGATAATAGTAAGATGTTCACTTTGTATTTCATAGTAGATTCTAGAATAACTAAAAGAAAATAAACATTCATAATTATCATTTATTTCATTTTTAATTATAATATTTCAATAACAATGAATTTTATATAAATTCACAGATACTAATCTAGTGACGATTATATGAACGGTATTGAAAAACAAAGGATAATAGCAACTAACATTAGTGAAGTAAAAAAAGTCGTTAATATGAAGTATTAAAACATTAGAAACTTTT